CGAGCAACCTTCATTAAGTGATTGAGGCGCTCGAGGAAATTGCTCTCCGACATACTGATTTCATCGATGACGAGAACGTCAGTCTCTTGTATGTTGGCGATATCGGTCTGAAATTTGTTGCTCCTGAGACCTATCCTGTTGGTGTTCACATGCCAGTTGGCGTAACTGTATGTCGTGATGCCTCCTACGTTGAGCGCAGCAAGGTTTGTGGGCGCAGTCACAAACACGCGCTTGCCCATCTTTTCCAGCCTCTTTTTAAAGGCTCGAAGTACGACAGACTTTCCACAGCCAGCAGAGCCCGTGTAAAACACGTTGCGTCCTCGCATGATGCGTTGTACCACCCGTTCCTGCTCAAGGCTCAACTCAACCTCAGGTTCAGCGATGTTTGTTTCTGACTCGATATGTTCCTCATCAGAAGCGGGCTCTTCCGAAGCATCTTGAGAAACTCGTGAGCTTGAGCCTGAAGAAGATGCATGCTGATGCGGCAGTCCGTGAAGTCCAAGTGCTTGTTCGCGTTCTAGCAACCCTTGCATTGGTGCTTGTTGTTGCTGAGGGTTTAGTCCTCCTTGTGGTACTAGTACCATCATCTGTTGTATTAGTCTCAATCGGTGTTCTCGTGGTAGTTGCTGGAGCGAAAGCTGCTGCTGAGGAGCTTGCTGCTGCACATGAGGGATGTGCTGTTGTGGCGGATGAGCAACTTGTTGCTGGTGGTGAGCAATTAGTTGCTGCTGTTGAGGAATTGGTTGCTGCTGCTGCTGAGGAACTTGTTGTTGCGGCTGATACAGTGCAGGCTGCAGAGCCAACCAGGCGCGACCTTTTTCACGCTTGAGCGCATCGTCAACCTGAGTGCGCCTCGCATGTAGCCATTGCCATGCTTGGGCAACAGAATTGACTTTCAGTTTGCCGTTGCCGCTGAAACCTTTGAGCACGTTCTTTTCGACATAGTTCCAATCAGTGTATATGCCGGGGACGTGACCCAGAATTGCGTACATCTTGGTGGTGCCGAGTACATCTTTGTCGACAAAGAGCCCCCATGCTTGGATTGGGCGACTCATACGAGGTCTCGCCGCTTCTCGCTGCTCTAGTGCCGGATCGAGTCTCACATGGCGTTGACGCAGATAGGATATGAGCTCATTCGTTGGGATTCCCGTGTCTGTTCTCTGTTGGTTGTGTCCGTTGTTTCGATATCCTCCCCCATGGTTTCCATGCCCTCCTTGATGTCCTCTATTTCTTCTGGCCATTGTCGCGGGCTCGAGGATGCGACTACGAGTTCGGGACGCTGGAGGATGGAGGCAGGAGCAGGTGTCGCAAAGATTCTTTGATTTGTATGATATCAGGAACGATGATCTAGTCGCAGTACGCGAAAGCTCTTTCGACGTGCGCGAATCTACCTGTGACGTATCAGCATCAGGAGTCGCAACATCCAGCCCTCGCCCTCCGGAGCAAGCCGAGACGAGCAAAGCGGGCATTTCCAAGGTTGCAGGTGTACATACTTCTCGTAAAATATTCGGGTATCGATAAGAATATTCCGAGTGCGATATGCAGGCCGGTTGGAGATGGGTAGGTACCAGCTAAGAAGACGCACCGTTCGTGGCACAGGCTCGCCGCGGAGCCGTGATCAGGGACGCGTCGCGTAGCTTTCCCGCTAGCACGGGTGGTGGGTCCGGCCTCGGAACATGTGGGGATGGGTCGCTTTTCTTGTGGCCGGACTCATCTCATCATGATCCGATTGCAATTACTTTTGGGTACTGCACTTTGACTATTTAGATATGTCGTGACGCTGATTTTCCGAGAGAGTCGGAATTGGTACGTCTCCATTCACATCCACGGGCGCGGGATGGAATGGTGTTAGCGACGTTTCCACAAGAAAAGCAAGTACTGGGCAGAGATTGTAACCCATCACCAGGACTGGGGAAACAAGAAGCAATGTAACATGATGAGTAAGTCATATCATAGCTCATTCGACGCATGCTTAATAGCTCATACAACACTATCTCCACTACACATCCCCCTCCAACCAAAACCCCCCTAGTAAACATACCTAAAGTTAGGATTCTCCTTATCCGTCAAATCATCAAAGCCATGCGCATTGCTAATATCCTTTCCAAACTCCCTATCCTTCTTCTTATTCCTGAGCGTAAGGTTGAACCTCAAAAACGCAATGACCACCAGCAGCGCGCTGTAGCACCCGAGATGAATAGCCAGGGACTTGAGATAGCGTGGGTCGCCATCGAAAAACACCTTGGGTCCAATCGCATTACCCGCGCACCACGCGAAGAAGTTCATGGTGATGCAGACGGATTTCTTGGTCTGCCCGCCGACGTTGCGGGTAAGCATCGACATGCCGAGACCCTGGGCGGCCCAGAAGGTGAAGACGATCCAGTAGGAGATGAGCAGGCCGGCTTTGGTAGCGTTGTTTGTGTTTTTGACGGTCATGATGATGATTGTGCCGACGAAGGCGGGGATCATGAAGACGGCCATGGTAAGCAAGTTTTGCTTTGTTTTCTTGACCATCCAGGCGGAACCCATTAGTGTGGCGATGATGACGACACCGAGGACCATGGCGAGGAGCTGGACTTGGAGAGTGTCGAAACCGAGGTCTTTGATGATGATGTTGTAGAAGGCGCCGAGGCCTGACGTGGGTAAAGTGGTGAAGATCTGAATGCCCATGTAGCAGTAGGTTTGGGGGTCGAGGAGGGCTTCTTTGAATTGGTAGGCGCGGAACTTTTTATTTTGGAGACCGGTTTGGTTGGAGCGTACACGCTCAACCATGAGCTTCTTGTCTTCCTCTGACCAGCATTTGGCGCGCATGGGGCTGTCGGGGAGGCGGAAGATGACCCATAATCCCCAGATGAAGGAGAAGCAACCGTATGTGATGAATATAGCTTGCCAGGATCGGATAGAAGCGTTACCGGGGTTCGCAGAGAAGCTAGGGTGTCTGATGTTGGTGAAAGCGTATGCGAGGAGACCGCCGACAATTTGTTGCATGCCGTCTGGAGGTAAAGATTAGTTCGTGTTGTAAGTCTTTGATCTCGTATAACTTACTCATCATGTACCAGTACGTAACGATCTGAGCCTGCTCCTCACGCTTGTACCAGAGAGAAGTCATGATGAGGAAAGCGGGCTGGCAGACAGCCTCGAAGATACCAAGGAGTGTTCGGCAAACGACGAGCGCAGGGAAGCTGAAGCAGGCTGCATGGCAGGCAAGTACGGTACTCCATGCAAGAATGTTGAATCCGAGGTATTTGGCTACTGGTACTCGTTGGAGAATCCAGTTGGTTGGGTATTCGACGACCAGTACAGCGAGGTAGATACAGGTGGTGAGCCACCCAAACTGTCATGAGTCAGTGCATGATACTAGTGCCCACAGACTTTGCAACTCACAGTCTCTTTGGAAAGAAGTGCGGGAATATCCTCACGGATACCCATGATGGAGGTAGCGGACATTGTGCCCTTGTCCAGCGATTGCAGGAAGTACGTGATGACCATAATAGGCAGTACACGACGGTCGATCATCTTCTTTAACCGGGCGTTCTCCTCTTCCGAGATGAAAACCTCAGAAGCGTTTGCGTATTTGGCAACCTCCTTGTCGATACGGTTGTAGTCGGCATGGTCGCCCTTCTCGTCTCCTCCTTCGGAGAACACGCGCTCGACCTGGCTAATGTCCTGCTTATCGTCCGAATGGCGAACAACCTCGGGTGTGTTGTGCACGCCATCAGCGCTGGCTCTGGTGGTAGCCATCTTGAAAAGAACTTCCGAGAGCTTGACAGCGGAAGAAAGAATGAGGTTTGCAAAGAAGAAACCCCAGGACTCGCGAGTGAGCTGGCCAGGATGGAGGAGCGGTCGAGTTGATATTTCTACCCGATTTTAGATTGTTCCGTCCAAGCGTTCCCCGGCCTCAAGCTACCCCAGGCTGGCAGGCTACTCCGCAAATCCTGGGATCCAAGAACCTGCACGTTCAACGTCTAGCCGGGTATTGACTATTGGTGATCATCTCCTTGTTTCCGCACCCCAGTTCGAGGTAGGATTCTGGAAAGGCGTGCTGCAAGCGCGACCCTGTCGGCGCCAACGCTGCATCTTGAGTCGCTAGCCTCTGGGGTTCGCCAACCCCGCCACCATGCCGTCCATACAGATAGTGGAGTGCTTGGGAATGCGGAGTAGGATCAAGCAGTGTGGAGAGTGCCACCACTTGGCGGGGGTCCGTTTGTGGTAAAACATCGGCGTAGATGCTGCCGAAAGGCCACCCGCGTCACTCGTGAAGGCATGTGATGGGTCAAGCTCGCGCGAGTGTCATGCGAAGCTTCGTCGCTGGGCCCAAGGCGGCTGGTGGAAGATTTTGTCCGCCTGCAGCGAGTTGGCGGCGGCTGGCTTTCCCAGGCTGAGTCGTGTTAGGCAGCCAAGCTCCTTCACGGCGGTCGCACTTCCCTCCACGGTGTCTTCCGGCCCTCCAAGAGGTAAGCGATTGGTGACCTTCACGCCGGTATTGTCAGTTTAGTGATCAGCGAATCTCGGTGCAATGCACTGCGAGCGCGGCAGAAACCCGAGAGTGGGATGTCAGCAGCAGGCGTCCGTGGTCTCGGTGTTGATGTTTGACACGAGAAAAGAGCCGCGCCTTCCAGGAACCCATCTGCTGGAGCGACTCCACGTGTGCCCAGCGCCCAGTCGGGGTAGAGATGGACGAGTCGGTGCAACAGAGCACGAAATCTGGCAGTGACATGCAGCATCGATGCAATTTACGCGGTTGAGGACCCTGAGCGTTCCCCAGTTTTCGCTCCCCGCTCTGTTCCTGGGTTGAGCTCTACCGACGCGTGTGACCGACGGCCTGTATCTAATACCCACTTGCTAGACTACGCGTGTGACGATATCTTTTCTCTTGCTGTCTTCTTCTAATACTTGCGTTACATTCCTCAATTGCTTGTTGCTGTAATCCTCATTCAGTTGTGAGCACATCCCACCACACAATCGCTGCGAACGCGACGTAACAACGAAACGCGCCCACCATGTCCACACTCACAGTCCACGGCCTCACAAAAGGCCAAATAGACGAGAAGATCCTCCTCCTAACCCACAACCTGATCAACATCCACGACACAACCGGCGAGTTCCTGCTAAAACTCGACGATGGCCGCATCATCGACACCAAAGGCTGGGACGGCTGGGAGTGGACACACGGTATCGGTCTCTACGGCCTATGGCACTACTACACTTTGACAGGCAGCACAGCAACAATGGACATCATGCAAGGCTGGTTCTCCAAGCAGCTCAGCAAAGGCACAACCAAGAACATCAACACCATGAGCCCCTTCCTCACACTAGCATACCTATACGAAGAAACCGGAAACAAGACCTTCGTCCCCTGGCTAGACACATGGGCAGAATGGGTGATGCACGGTCTGCCCCGCACCAAATTCGGCGGCTTCCAACACGAGACATACAACTCGTTTAACAAAGACGAACTCTGGGACGACACCCTCATGATGAGCGCGCTGCCCCTCGCTAAGATCGGTCTTGTGCTCAACCGACCCGAATACGTAGAGGAAGCAAAGCGCCAATTTATCCTCCATTGCCAGTACCTCTGCGACACATCCACAGGCCTCTTCTTCCACGGCTGGAAGTGGGAAGACAAGGGCGGTTTGGAAGTCGGACATAACTTTGCGCGAGCAAGATGGGCGCGTGGAAACTCGTGGTTGACGATTGCGATCCCGGATTTCATTGAGTTGCTAGATCTCAAGGAGACGGATCCGCTGCGCCAGTTCCTCATTGGTATTCTCGAGTCGCAATGCCAGGCGCTGTTGAAACTGCAGGGCGAGAACGGCATGTGGCGCACTCTGCTCGATATCCCTGTATCGGAAGGTAGCTACGAGGAGGCTTCTGCTACGGCGGGTTTCGCGTATGGTATGCTCAAGGCGTGTCGGAAGCGGTATATTAGTGGGGACGTGTATCTGCAGAGCGCGGTTAAGGCTATCAAGGCTGTTATGGGCAAGATTAGTGCGGAGGGTGAGCTGACGGAGACGAGTTTTGGAACGGGTATGGGTCATGATTTGCAGCATTACAAGGATATCAAGATTACGAGTATGCCGTATGGGCAGGCTATGGCTATTATGGCGCTGGGAGAGTTTATGAGGACGTTCATCTAGGGGTGATAGGTGGATAGAAGGGTTGAATGATAAATCAATGGAACAACATGACACTTTCACATGGATTCACATGCTGACGGAAATTGTGCAGAGAGTGATGAGTTTAGAGTTCAGGACAGGAATTGACACGAATTTCGCTCACTGAGCTGCAAAAAGTACAGCCTACGAGGTAGACAGAAGCAGAAGCACACACGCATTTCCACGGAATGATTACACAAATGGATTTGAACTTTCAATTGAAGACAAACAAGGCATCTTGACGTATCCCGTACACATCTCAACGCTAATCCCAAACAAAAAAAAGCGGTGATTTTCCCATCCATCCATACCACCACACCCAAACGCCCTAACGTGCGACAACCACTTCCCCCCATCTCACTCCTGATTCGCAACCTGAATCGGCATAACATTCCCCGAATCAACAATAATCTGCGTATCAAGCCTCTTCCCCGTATCCCCATACTCCAACCTCTTCCACGTCACAATGCGCGCCTGATTCGTATCGATCTCAAACACCCTTAACCTCCTGTGAAAGTGGTTATAACCCCCGTAGCCACCAAAGCCACTACCACCCGCATAGCACATCCAGAGTTCTGGATCACCAGTCTCGGGTTCTTTGGAGAGGGCGCAGTAGTCGTTTACGTGGTCGTGGCCACAGGAGACGGCTTTGATGTCGTATTCGACGAGGGCGTCTTTGAAGTGCGTGTTGAAAGCAGGTGCGGTGATGGGTTCGGTCCAGTTGCCCACGCGGTCGTTGTCTGGGTTGCCGTATTCGGGGAGAGGGATGTGGATGAAGGCCATGTTGAGGTGTTTGTGGGTGTAGTGGCTGTGTGCTTCTTTTAGGCCGCCGGCGGTGGCTTTGAACCAGTCGATTTGGTTGGGCTTGAGCCAGTCGTAGCCCCGGTAGTGGGTTTCGTCTGGCGAGTAGGCGTGCGTGTCGAGGAACCAGAGGGTTAGGGCGGAGTGCTTGCTGCTGTGGGCTTGGATCTCGACGAAGTAGTTTCCTACGCCGTCGATTGTGTTGGGACCGGGTTCGCTGACGGAGTAGGGGAGCGAGTCGTAGAGGTCCATTTGCGCGTGGCGGGAGAGGGTGCCTTCGTCGTCGTGGTTGCCGAAGATGGCTGCGTACGGTATCTTGCGCTCCGCGAGGGGTTCGACTATCTTGAACATGGCCTGTGAAATGGTTAGCTTTGTGTCGCCTAAAAGATAGGGGCGTGCCCTACGCTCTGCACATCAGGTGCTGTATCGCCGTTGACTTGGTCGCCAGACAGAACTACAAAGTCTGGCTTTTCGTCGTCTAGCACCCTCTCCACAAACTCTATGGTCCTGGGGTCGGCGTCACAGTGTCCGCCATTGTGGCCTGGCGGCTCTGGGTCTCTGCAGTGGCCGAGACCAGTGCTGAGATGCAGGTCGGAGATCTGCATAATCTTGAATTTGCCATCCTTTCTGATCTTGGGTACGGGCTTCTCGAGCTTGGCTGCTGGGCCTCTTCGTATGCTCAGGCGGGGATCTGTGCTTGCTTTGCCCGTTTCAAGATGTAGGGCTCCGTTCTTGACCAGCTCCCAGCCAGGGCGTGGCTCTACTGCGTCGGCGCCGAATAGGATATCCACGGCGGTCACAGCCTTCTTGTCGTCGCTCGCGTGACGCTTCAGCGAGCGCTTGATCCAGAGGCCAGCTGGGCGCGACTCCCACTTCTCCGACGCCTGGGCCTTCTCTCCCACAGAGGGATCAAGCTTGCCTGTGCGAACGTCGATTATGACTTTGTCCTCTGTCTTGAGCTCCTCCTCCCGCTTGCGCTTGATGTGGACGTATCCTTTGGTGACCCATCCAGAGCCGAGGTACAGGTCCTTCTCTATGCGATGCCACTTCTTCTGGTCGAGCATGCACTTGGAGAGGGGATTGATGGTCGAACATGTCTGTACGGTGATATCGGTGATAACGAGGCCGTCGTGGTGCAGTGGCATGTGACTGTGGACAGATTGGGGGAGGACGCGGTAGCGGTTATCGAGGAAGAATATGGTTAGGGAGACGACGATGGTGAGGGCTATGAGCTGGATGCCCGTCCGTACCTGGGACTGTTAGCACTGGCGGGAGAAGGGTTATGCTGTGCGTACTATGCGGCGCGTCATGGTGGAGGCTCCCGAAGGTGTGAGTAGTGGCGCATAGAGCCAGCGTCGGGTTTAGGATATGTGTCTTTCGCAGCAACGCGATCTCATCTCCATGACATGGGCTCGTTTGCTGAGGGTGTGAAGTCAAGCGTGTTGGGCAAGGCGCATGCGTTGGAAGTGTGCAGGTGCTCCATGTTGTTCTTGGCCGAACCCTGGAGTCTCGGATCGTCAATGGCGATGCAGGGATTAAATCACCGCTGTGACGTTGTGCATTATGCAGTAAAGTATATTAGATATATTGATATACGACGTAGCAGAGGCAGAAGCTATGTGAAAAGGACTCAGTTATCTATGTAAGATTTACTGCATTCCTACGCCTGCAGAGCATACTCGGTGCCCTCCTGCGGTCGCCGCTCGCTTGGTGCGGAGAAGGCGTCACCTCCGCATCTGACATCTTTCTTCTTACAAAGCCATGCGATCATCCTCTCTCCACCAGCTACGCCGTGCTGCATTCCGACCGCGTGCGCGACACTTCACCAGTAGCTCCTGCCTCCATCGCGCTTTCCAAGGCAAGACCTCCGCTTCCACCACCCCGACCCCGCTCACAGGCGCATAGAAGGCGATGTTGTGCTCCTGCGCGAGAGCAAAGAGACACAGGATGGGCGCCTCGTGAAACTGCAGGCGACCAAGACCCTCGGCACACACCGAGGCGTCGTCAAGCATGCAGATGTTATTGGAAAGGAGCCGCGGCAAATTGTCCGTTCCCACAAGGGCGACACCTTCCGCATCTTCGAGCCTACCTTGGCCGAATATGTCAGATTGACACCGCGCCTTGTTACTCCAGTGCGTATGCCATGCCACGTCGAGACAGAAGACTCATGCTGACATGATACAGATCTACCCTTCAGATACCAACCTCATAGTGTCTCTGCTCGACATCCATGTAGATACTCCATCCGCTACCCCCAGCACCGAACCACCTCTTGAGATCCTCGAAGCCGGCACAGGCCATGGAGCGCTGACGCTGCATCTCTCTCGCGCTGTACATGCCGGCAACCCTCCAGTCCCAAGAACGCCGTCCTATGTCACTGCCCAAGAAGAACCCGAAGACGCAGTATACCTCGGCGAGTCCATATCAGACCTACAGGAATCAGCACTATCGTCGTGGAAGCAGAACCGTCGCGCTATCATACATACCCTGGATATATCCAGCAAGCATTCAGTACATGCGAAGAAGATAGTCGAAGGCTTTCGACATGGCATGTACGCGGGCAACGTCGACTTCCACGTAGGAGACGTGTCTGAGTGGATCGCCAAACAGAGAGCTTCGAGAAAGACCGAGGAGCCATTCCTGACTCACGTGTTCCTGGATCTTCCCAATGCGACAAGCCATCTCGCTAATGTCGCTCCTGCGCTGCACGTCAATGGCATGCTCGCCGTCTTCAACCCAAGCATCACTCAGATCGCTGAATGTGTCGAAGCTATTCGGGAACATAAGATGCCCTATCTTCTTGACCAGGTCATTGAGCTAGGGGCAGGTACAATTCGCGAGTGGGATGTTCGCGCAGTCAGACCGAGAGCGCCTATGAAGAAGGCTCAGCCAGAGCAACCTTCCGAGCCTTCGAGCGATGAAAGCGCGGACTCGGCATCAGGCCAAGAAGGACGCGATAACGAGCTAAAAGAAGATCTGAGCAAACAGGAGGAGAAATGGGTCATGGTGTGCCGACCAAAAGCCGGCCAAATGGTTGTGGGAGGTGGCTTCCTGGGTCTATGGAGGCGTATGGAGAAGCCAGAGAAGAAGGAACCAGCGGAGAGGCCTGACAATGAACCATTAATCGAGTAGCTATAAGAGGCCCACAATCAGCCCCGTCTCACGGTCTCATGAGGCGGTCTAATGTTCGGTTTCTACACATCCACCTCCTATCGCGCCCGCCCACCTACACTCTGACGTCAACACTGAACTTCCACCACGTTCCAGTGAAAGTGAAAGTGAAAACCAGCCCAATGCAAACGCACAAACGCACTAACCGAAATCTCTGCTCGCAGCCTAAAGTTACAACTCTTGCACGCGCTCCTCCATCCTCGCACCACCACACACACCAAGCCGAACCTCTTCAGCTGCCCTCTGCCGTGATCCACTGCTCCCAATCCTGACACACTTCACCAGTACATGCCCAGCCGTCGGCGCACCCGCAGCGGCCTCACCCAAAACAAACTCAAGCAGTACATCAAGAAATCGCTACCCTACACCCGCAAACTCCGCTCCTCAACACCAATGGAGTACGACCCCGATACCCAGCGCATCCGCGCCCGCCTCGCCAACTACGCGACTCCGCAGGAGATTGCCGAAGAGGCATACCGTGTCTGCCGCAAGAACGCGGAGTTGAGGAAAGAGGTTTGTTAACACTGTCTGGAATGGAATGTATGGGATATGTTTTACTGACTATATGTCTTCGTTTGTAGTTGGAGAACGTCAAGAAAAGTGTTGTCGTGCCTACACACCTCCCCGTCCCCTCCGCAACTACACCCACAACATCATCGTCGTCCTTAAACACCACCATGGCCGACGCCGTCACCAGCACCGCCGGCACTGTCTCCGCCCCGCCCGACCCCACCGCCGAGACCAAAGCCACGATCAAAGCCCTCAAGAACCGGGTGGCGGTCATGGAAGACGCCCTGAGCGAGATGAGACGGGAAGCACCCAAGATGCGCGAGTCCATGGCGTGGATGTGGGAGATCATTGGTGATAACCGCGTTCACGTCCCGAGGGACTTGAGAGATATGTATCATGGCAGTATGACTGTTGATGCGGTGGATTGGATGGGCGGGAAGAAGGGGGCTGGTGGCGGCCGGAAGGAGAGGGGATGGAAGGAGGGGGGTGGGGAGAAGAAG